ACAGTCCTCACATGAGGACACATGGAGGTCACATGTTCTTATACTCACCACAGATGAAACACGTGGTCTTCAGGATCTCCTCTTTCTTCTGTTTCTCGCTCCTCAGGTCGGCGAATGTGTCGATGATGACGCCAAAGATCAGGTTGAGGACGATGATGATGACGATGAAGTAGAAGAGCAGGTCGTAGACCACCCGGGCAGGAAACAGCGGCTCCTACACACACAGATACAGGTTAACACGTTACGACGAGTTTTAACTCCACACTGTGAAATGAAGTCGACCCTCTGCAGGATTATGTCATCACATATTGATGACATCAGAGTGTCAGCAGTGTTTGAAGGTTGTAGTGATGAAGCTTCAGCTTTACTGTTAATGAGTGACCTCTGCCCTCAGGCTGCTCCTGTCCTGACTGATGTTAATGATGGGATGGAAACAGGAATATAAAGTGTTGTTTACGTTCTTGGATGGTTTGCGGAGAACGTCTCCGACTCCTCCTCCGTTCCTCAGTCCATGGTTCAACACGGTGACGATACACATCAGCAGAGTGTCACATGCTCGCTCCGAGCTCGCCTCCTCTGAAACACACACACACACACACACACACCGTCACTGCTGTAGTAACAAGAGTTTTAAGGTTGTGAGTTCCAACACCTGTACCTCCTGTATCTACTGTACCTCCTGTACCACCTGTACCTCCTGAACCACCTGTTCCTCCTGTACCTCCTGAACCACCTGCACCTCCTGTACCACCTGTACCTCCTGTACCTCCTGAACCACCTGCACCTCCTGTACCACCTGTAACTCCTGAACCACCTGTACCTCCTGAACCATCTGTTCATCCTGTACCACCTGTACCTCCTGTATCTCCTGAACCACCTGTACCTCCTGAACCACATGTACCTCCTGAACCACCTGTTCCTCCTGTACCACCTGTCCCTCCTGAACCACCTGTACCACCTGCACCTCCTGAACCACCTGTTCATCCTGTACCTCCTGTACCACCTGCACCTCCTGAACCACCTGTTCCTCCTGTACCTCCTGTACCTCCTGAACCACCTGCACCTCCTGTACCTCCTGTACCTCCTGTACCTCCTGTACCTCCTGAACCACCTGTTC